TTTTTCTTTTGTTTTGTTTTTTGTTTTTACGTCATATTTTATCAATGTAAACGGTACAAAAGAAGCCACAAAATCGTTTCATCGGTAAACAATAAGCCATTAAAAGTATATAGCTCGAAAACCCGACCGACTCGGTATTTTTTGTTTCCCCCGCGAACTGTGCACTTCTTGCTCAACACACAAACGAGCGAGCGAGGAAGTTGAAACGAGGGCAAAAAGTCAACAGCTGCGGGCTCTCTTTCGCGATAACCAGTTGAGTCCAAATTTAGTGGAGCTGTCAATAGGCTTTCCTGGCTTTGCTAGGAAAACCAAGATCGGTCGGTAAACAACGATGCTCAAAAACATGGCAGTAGTTGACGGAAAGTACACCTCATCGATTCTTGAATTGTGTAACGTATAGAACAAAGCGGGTGCCCCAAATGCGTTTGTTTTCTTGCCTCTCCCTTTTGTTTACCACCGTTGCCCTTCTGCTTTATTTTAAAGCACGAAATGCGGTTTTACGCCCCCCCCCCCCCCCCCCCCCAAATCTCCCAAATCCCAGGATTATGTCCGTGCGTCCGTCCGTAAATTTCCCGCTAAATCTAGCTAGAAAATTGATGTCATATGACCTCACGTCACGTGACCTATACACCAATTCAATTTCCTTTTTTAAATTCGGCGGTAAAATCATTGTCACGTGTTTCGTACGCTAATTTAGCTTCCCCACAAAATTTGGCGGGAAAAATAATGTCCCGTGACCCCATACACAAATTCAGTTTTCCCGTTAAATATAGCGGGAAAATTGATGTCACATGACCTGAAGTCACGTGACCTGACGCCACCACGTATATAGAAACAAATTTAGCTTTCCCGCTAAATTTGGCGAATAAATTAATGTCGCATAACGACCGCACCGAATCAGTGTCCCCGCTGAGGTGTTCAAATATAGGTTCTTCATCACTCTCTCGGAAACGAGTGTTTAATTGTCTTCTAAAACAGATTTAAACGATTGCTCCTTTAAATGATGTATTTCAAACTTTAGAAATAAAGGCCGCTGCTAATTGGCTCGAAGCACTCGATTACAGAGGAATAGAGCCACAGTAGACGAATGAAATATCGCCGGTTCTTCGTGTTTCTCTCCCACAGATGACACTGACTAATATGCCGCGATCCCAACTACTATGGAATAAGGAACCCGGGGAGCTACGGCGACATTATTACAATCGTTCCGCAACCAATCACATCGCGGCATTGGCCGATAACGGCTCCCAAGAACCAGTCACGAAGAGATGTTATAATAAGCCCCGCCCCGCATGTTTTAAACGGTCACTGACTTGGGTAAAAGGCAAACAATCGCCGATATAGTGTTGAATGTAACCATGTCGGTACCTGTAAATAAAGAACAACAAAAATACAAGTACAAAGTTTTTTTGTTTTTTTTTTTAATTTGACTTACTTAAAAAAAAAAAAATTTAAAATGTGCGCAAACGAAAATACGCAGACGCCAAGTTCAGACGGAGAGATTGGATGTTTGAAACCAATGTCGCAAAGATATTTCTTGCTCCTGCGCTCCTGGCAGTGTTTTTGAGGCCAGACCGATTTCACGCTCTCAAAAACACTCGCGGAATTGTTTTCGTTTTTTTTTTTTTTTTTTTTTTTTTTTCTTTTTCTCTTTGGCTCACCAGGAAAAGGATTACTATTTTGATTGCAACGACGGTTGTCTCTCAAAAGTCTGACCGACCAGACGGCGTTTATTATTCAAACATATACGTAAGCTATGGATTTCTAACGGATCGCAGATGTTTCACGAAGTTGCAAGGCCTCTGCTCGGCTGCCTGCTTGTATACAGACGCTCCACCGTGGCAAAATCGCACGGGGTTTCAGGGTGAATTTAACATTTATGGCATTCGCCTTCCTCGGACAAAGTGACGAAATAAAGACGGTTTGCAACGGACTAAAAACTATAGCCCCTAATGCGTTGTCTTAAGAACTAAGATTTTTTTTTATATATGGCGTTTGTTTTCTTTAGGACACATGGTAACAGAGCCGGGCGACTCGCCGGGAGCAACCAAACAGTGTTGCCTTATCTGCATATTTATTTGGTAACTACAGATTTTTTTTAAGATATAATATATTAATCTATATATAATGTTCACAAATCTTCAGATTGTTCTGGACATTTAAAAATAAACCACCTCAATACGCGCGTGATCTCGACAGTGTCGAAAGATATTGCTCAAGAATGAACGTTTGCAGGCTGCACAAGTATTGACGCCCGGTAGTTTGACCTTCGTAATTGTGACGCTATCGTTGTTGTTGTTTTTCGGCCATGGTAGACGCTCGCATTTCATAAATTACACAACTTAACTCCTTACGACATATAATTTTTTTTTTTTTAAGTCAGTAGGTAATTATTTTTAGTGTTCTGATATATTACGGTGTTCGAGCGAGAAACGAGGTCGAATCAAATATTTATTCATTCGCTCATTTTCATAAATAGCAAAAGTCAGTCTTAGTTCCTTCACTGTCACTTTAACGTCACCGAGGAAGCTCAATCAAATCCTAAACCAGTGAGAGAAAAAAATTGAAGACGTTAACAAATCTCTGTAACGCGAAATCAGAGAGCAGCCTTTGAGGAGGAGAGGAGGGTACGGAGGGGAGGGTATGCTCTCCTCGTCCTCTGTACCTTCTCTTCCTCCTCTCCTCCTCCACTCCCCCTCTCCTTTTCTGCTCCTTGCACCCCTTTCCTCCCCTTCTTCCTTCCCCCTTTCTTCCTCTCCCCCTCCTCCTCCACACGTGACGTCAATTTTCCCGCTGAATCTGGCGGAGAAACTGAATTTGTTCATGGGTGACGTGACACCAAATCTTGTGACGTCATTTTGTCCGCTAAATTTAGCGGGAAAATTTAATTGGTGTTGAGGTCACGTGAAGTCAATTCTCTCGCTAAATTTAGCGGGGAATCGAACTGCTGTTGAGGTCACGTGACGTCAATTTTGCCGCTACATCTAGCGGAGAAACTGAATGTGTTCATAAGTGACTTGGCATCAAGTCACGTGACGTCGTTTTCCCCCTAAATTTAGCGGGGAATCGAATTGGTGTTGAAGTCATGTGACATCGATTTTCCCGCTAAACTTAGGGCGGTAAAGCCGACGGCGACACCGACGTCGCGAAACCCGGAAACAAACGCCTAAAATCTGCGCTAGACAAGCAAACAAACAAACAAAAAAAAAAACGTTAACTGAACACGACTTTTTGTTTCGAATTCGAGACAAAATCGATTTAAAAAGACTTATTTTAGTCTCCCGTTACTTTTAATGCATATGCGACGCACAACCACACATATTCGGATTGGCGCTCCTGAGAGGGCGCCGAGCTTTAAAAACCCAGATGTTCACGAACGCGCGCACACACTGGAAGTGTCTCCCGCCCCCGTTCTCCTCACTTTCCCGGTCTTCGGGTCAAGGTACCGGTTCCACCTTACGATGTACCACAGCGTACGCCACGGGCCTTCGGAGCCAGTCCAATGCCGCGCGTCACGTGGACTTCCCGAGACGCCCGGTGAGGCGCGGAAAGCGTAGCCTCGTGAAATGTTCCTCGGCGCCTAATTTGCTAGGATGGCTCATTGTGCCCGCTGCAGTCCGCCCAAAGGTTAAACGCAGTGAACTATTCGACATAACTTTAACCTGGCCCTCCCACTCTTCATACACCCTATCACTACTTTTCTTGTATTTCGTCTACTTGGAGTCTCCCTCGTACTTTCGAGCCCTCTTCCTTTTTCCCAATTTTTTACTGAGTAAGAAGTACTTTACTGGACGACTGAAACAACGAATCAACGAATGCTACAGCTACTATAATTTGCGAACTGATCAGTTGATCGATTATTAGACACCTGTCAATAAATTAAGTCTCGCCGATAAGACACTGACTACGCAATAAGCAAGTGACTCGTCAACTGCGATCACTTGACAATTAATTGGCAAACACTGAGAAGTGGTCAATTATTCTAATACACACGATCTATTCATAAAAAAATATATATATAGTTTTAACGTACTGGTTAATAATAATAATACTTATTTAACTTGAGAGAGTTGCGGTTCCACGGTAAGGCGAGTAGCCCATCCCAGAGGGCCTGCCACGACCAGGGCGACTAGGGGCGCGACGGTTGTGCAAATTGGACGGATGGTAGCCTCATGACGTCATTGTGTACATATTACGCAAACAAGATGAAGCCCCAATCAACCGAGTCATCAGCGGAGGTCGGCGTGCCCATCGTGGTTTCCAAACTTACGTCTTATCTGTGTACGTGTCTCTTATTGCGCGACGTTTTCACACAAGCCAACCTACGGGTTGGCATTCCTGTTATTAATGTCTTTTTTTTTTTTTTTAGAATTTGAGGTACTGATTGTTTGTCGTGCGAGCTGTTTTCTCTGCGCAAACATACAACAACTTGAGATACATTCGCAAGGAACTATGCGAGACGTATCTAAAAGCACCGGAGGAGAAAACGAAAGTGAAAGCGAACTCGGTGGTAGAACGCCGGTAGCGTCCTCTACTCCCTAAAAATTGTGCTACAACCGGGGACGAATTGCAGACGTAATCTTGATGCATCTATATCTTAAAAAATAAGTTAACTATTGTATAAACTTAGAACTTAGCTTCCCATATTGCTATATTTAGTAATTAATTGTAATTAACTGTCTCAAACATGACTGCATTGTGGCGCTATCTATGTCAAGCACGCTTGATATGTTACTGTTAGACTTGCCATGGCTCCTGAGTTTTCAATGAACTGCGTCATGAGAGTCGTTGTCGAAACTTCGTAGATACGTGCTTAAATTCGAGGTGAGGTATTCATTGTGACCTATCGCTGTTCGATCACCTTTCGTGCTCGTGGTTAGAACGTGCAACGCTTGAACCGATCAGACGTCGCGTCGCGCATTCCAAGATTCGAGCATTCGACATCAGTCGACGGACGCAACGAGAACTAAAACGAACGGAAAACGCAACATTCGTCAGGCATGTTTCCTCTGCTCAGTGAACTCGGCAGTCAGTTGAAGAGCCACAAGGTGCACATTGACGGCAACGTTTTTCGGCTGCACACCAGCGTGACGGTGGTACTTTTGTTGGCGTTCTCGGTGCTTCTCACCGCCAAGGATTACGTGGGCTCTCCGATCGACTGCTACTGTCCGTCGATAGAAAAGAGCGTTTTAGACTCATTCTGCTGGATCGAGTCAACGTACAGCCTCAAGAGCCTCTTCGCAGCGTCTCGGACCAAAGAGCTCGCTTACCCCGGTACGGGTAACGACCGGAACGTACCAGGCGATCGACAGTATCACCGCTACTACCAGTGGGTCTGCTTTCTGCTCTTCGGTCAGGCGATATTCTTCTACTTCCCACGCTGGCTCTGGAGCGCTTGGGAAGGCGGCCGTGTGCCCGCGATCGTGTCGGCTCTCGACGTCGAGTCCGCCGCCTTCCACGACAGCGGCGGCGAGCTCCGATCGCGTCTGGTGGACTTCCTCGTCCTCAACCTGAACCGAAACAATTGGTACTTCGCCAAGTACCTGCTGTGCGAGTTCACGGGCTTCCTCAATGTCATCGCGCAGGTGATGCTCACCGACGTCGTTCTCAGCGGCACCTTCGTCAGCTACGGTTCGGATGTGGTGGAGTGGTATCGCACCAGAGCCGAACAGCGTCTAGTCAGCCCCATGGTACGCGCCTTTCCCAGGATGGCTATGTGCAGTTTCTTCAGGTACGGCGACTCCGGCGCACTCGAAAACAGGGAGGCCGTCTGCGTGCTGCCCGTGAACATCGTCAACGAAAAGCTCTTCCTCTTTCTGTGGTTCTGGTATGTGCTGCTGCTGGCTACGGGTGCGCTCTTGCTCGTGTACCGCGTCTTGCTCGTGATTCACGCGCCGCTTCGGTACGGCCTTCTGCAGGCTCGGTACCCGGACAGCGAGCAAATGGGAGATCTCGTACGATCGCTGGCCGTGGGAGACGTCTTTCTGCTCGGACTCATCGGGCAGAACACCGATCCCCTCGTGTTCGGACAGCTCGTGCGAGAACTATCGCAGCGTGTCCCGCAATGTCCTGACAAAAATGGCCGAGCCGCGCAACTGAACCGCTACCATTTGAACTGCTGCCGCGCAGCCTGAGCGCCAACCTGACCTGCGCAGCTAACACTATTTGCCGTACTGTTAAGGCTGTCGTTTTCTGACCCTGTTCTTTTTTATAATGATTGGCAGTTTCTTGGCATTGAAGGTGTTTGTCGGTTTTTTGTGATATTAGAAATTATGTTGATTACGGGTTACTAGTCAACTTTTTGCCATAGTATTGGGGCTGCGGTTTTCTCCCCGGCCTGAAGTTTGACAACTGTTTTTGTTACTAAATGTGTTGGTTACTTTTGTCATCATTTTATAAATTGTGTTGCTTATTTGTGAACTCAGGTGACCACTTTTGATGTGTCCAATTCTTCCCTAGTCAAGATATGGCACTTTTTTAATCATTTAAAGATTGTGTTTTTTTGTGTGTGTGTGTGTGTGATCGCAGGTGACCGCTAGTAATGGGTCAAATTATTCCCTGACCATATTGTGGCAATTATTTTATGATTTTAGAATATATCTTGCTTATTTGTGAGCTCAGGTGACCCCTAGTGATGGGTCCAGTTCTTCCCTAATCAAACTGTGGCACTTCTTTAATCATTTTAAGAAGTATGTTGTTTATTTGTGAACTCAAGTGACCACTCAGGATAGGTAAAGTTCTTTCCTTATCAAATTGGGGCTCTTTTCGTATCATTTTAGAAAATGTGTTGCCTATTTGTTAATTCAGGTAACTACAGCTGGTGGGTTAAATTCTTAATTAATCATGTGCGGGCCAGTTTCACTTCCCAAATTACTATGGTCCCGAAGGTGCTCATTAAGTCCCATTAACTATTCACTACTCTAACGAGGATGTTCTATGTTTAAATGCCACACTGAATTACATAGCCATGAAAGTAGTTTTGAGGTGTGTTGCATTTTATTGATTTACTCAATTGTGATCTTGTCTGCAAATTTTGCAAAGGAAAAACAATTATTTCAACACGAAATGTTTTATTATGTGAGTGATATTTGACTAGAAAGAAAACCTACATAGCCTGTGATATTGCTACTAAAACAATCACAAAGCCTGTGATATTCAATGTGATATTATTACTGAAACAGTCTCAAAGCCTATGATACTCTATGTGGCATTGTGCTCACAATAAACTCTTTTCACACTTCAAACACATTGTCCACATCTTTTGTGATCCGCAGATTTCTCGTTATGTTAAAAACCGTTGCAGTAGCCACCTGTTACATTTGCTTCCTTGCTGGCAGGAACACCCTAAAAGATTTCATCAATTCTTGTAGACCCGAATCTTATTGAAATGGAATTTATAAATATTCAGCACCTTGGCAAAGATTCATTGATTATGCAGCTTAATTTTAATAAATATGTTGATTTATAACTGAGATATGGTACTTGAAAGATTGAATTTTGTCGAATCGTTAAAAATGCCCCAATACATATTAATATTAACTAATACCTGGCGAAATGGCCCTTGGATTAACCTCAAGTTCCGTTTTGACAAAATCGATGAAACGATTTTACGTTACAAGCTCTTAGCGACAGAGAAACAAACGGTACACGGTCTGGTTTCTTCCTCGACAAGATGTTTCGTTGGTTATGACGCGGCAATAGTACTGAACTTCTCGTCCTCCCCTTTTCCCAACCCCCTTCCCCTTAGTATTGGGCAACAAACAATCGAGTTAAACGCTCGTGTTTATTAGAAAACAAAACTCCAGAAGCTAACCCGAGTCAAACCCGAAAAATCGAGCGCTCTCGCTCGTCTGTTGTCTCCTGCAGCACGAAGTCGGACGGTGCCGAGGTTTTCGTTGCGTTAATGTTGATTTACGGCGCTGAGCGGCCGCCAACTTCCCGGAAATAACTTAGCTGTAAACGTTATGGATATAGCCCGTAAATAATATACCGCCTCGTGACGTCACTCTAAAGTCTTTTTTTTTTTTTTACATTGTTGTTTTGAGACAATCTGCTCGAATTCTTGGTGCGAGTGCGCAGTGCGAATAAGCACCCCCCCCCCCCCCCCCCCCCCCCCTTCGCCCTAAAAGAAAAAGGGGAGGCGTTATGGCCTGGAACGACAGGCGCCTCACATTGCAGCTCAATTGCAAAGCGAGCTTATTCCTGGTTGCTTTGATGACGTCACGGGAAGGATAACGGAGGTAACATGATTGAGTTGGGCCTACGCTTGAATGCTGCGTCATTGTGGAACTTCATGCGTTCCTTGTTGGAATTTTGCCTACGTTGAACCAGAACGTACGTATAAGAATTAACGTTAAAACAAAGAAGAGAAGAAAAAAAAACTTATAAGACTTCGCGAAAAGCCGTTGAAAAGAGAAATAATTATTAAAAAAAAAAAAAATAGATCATCACGTTGCTTCTCAGCCTCAGTTCATCGTACGTTTTGGTTTTGAGGGGAATACACGAACTACCTTATAACAGCTTTGAGATGGTGGTGTAGTTATTCCATAGCGTTGCATTACGCTGTTCAGCTCGGAGAGCAACATGACTGCTTTATGTGTATGCACTATACTGCGCGCAAACGGTTCGTCTATACTTTGCCGCGCCTAAAACTGACTCAGGATAGGGATTTATTTTTACGAGATACTTATGAATGGGCGATTAGCGCCAAGTATTGGCCTTGATGATGCGAAATGGGTGGGGTTAAAGCCAGCAATCCGCACGAACTCAGCAATAGCAACGCACCCAGCCATGCCGGATAGTGAATATAGCGCACCCCAGAGGCGGTTTGCTGGTGATGGGGGAATCTCTCCCGGCAGCTAAAATCCCCGCAAGAAGGCATTTCTGGTCACATGACCGGCTTAATTGGGACAACGTACTAATAAATAAAAGTCTGCATCAAATGTTTTCCGATACATTGTCAAGGCTAGCTTAGGCCCGCTTAGTAACTTTCCCTTCACTGTTGCTGGCCAGTTGTTCCTTAGCTTTCCCTAGATCCTAAATGACGTTGCTGGGATAAATTTCCCCGTCTGAAGTGGGCCCTAGCTTCCAGAGTGTAGCAGCTCAGCACTGCTGCGAAAGCACTTGGCTTCGTTTTGCATGTCATTCGCACGCGTTCTCGTGCAAACGGGACGCGAAAAGGAGCGACGCGCTCGCGAAAGTAGCTTTGACAGCATTAGAGCACTGTGGAAGACAGTCTGCAAACACGAGTCGCTGCTATATCCGTGGTTCGAATGCCGCGTGCCAAGTTTTTCTCCTTGAACTTGTTGCCATGCGGCATTCGAAGGACGGATCTCTTCTACTTTTCTCTTTTTTTTTTTTTCTCTTCTACGGGGTGTTTTAAGGAGACGCCAGGCTCTTTAAATTAACCGCAAAATTCGGTTTCTTAACCTATCTCGCTACGACTTTGTGCAGCGTTGCCCACAGATGGTGCTTTTCTTATTTTTTTTTTTGCGATATTCGCAAAGAGCGGCCTTACCTGAGGAAAAAGTAAAGAAAGAAAAACGCTTAGCTCCTATGGAAACGCGGCGATGCCACCGGTCTTCAAACAACACGGCGCCGTTTCGCACGGGAGACAAGGTGGACGGGTGGGCCACTGACCGAGCGGTAGGTCCATGCTCTGGTAGAGAGTCTGACCAATGAAGAGAGACAGAGACGCAGCTCGAGAACACAAAGAAACTTTAATTTAGTGCTAGGCAGAAAGCTGATTACGATAGATAGATATATTCTGCAGGCATAGCATCTGTAACATTGGATAGAACGCTTATGAAAACAGGGTTTACAAATCTAGGTTTGCGAAGGCTTATACAGTTACTAATGAAGATGTTACGATTAACCGAGTCAAAAGATGCTAATTAAAGGAGTAACAGCGAGTGCGGAAGGTCTCATCTGACGAGTCGATGGTTGACGTCTCCCTGCGCGTTCCGTCCAAGGTGGAGGTGTTCCGCCGGTCGGCTGGCTCACTATGGGCGGGGCCACCTGGCCTCGCACCCACTTCTTCAGCTGAGACGCTCACACACAGGGAAACTCCGTCCTGTACTTGGCCAGAGGCCGTCGACAGTGGTCTCGTCGCCTCGCTCGACGACGCGATGCGTCCGTTCGCCTCCGAGTCTCTTCTCCCACTGCCCCTTGTTCCTCGCACTCAAACTCAGGTTCGCGCACCATGCCCGGAAATTCCCCCCTGCCAGACGGTCATTGCCCTGCGGATCTGCGCTTTGGCCCTGAAAGCAGTCTGCCCTCTAAACCCAAACATTCCCTGCCGTTTAAAGTAACACAACTCCGCTAGGTTCAAAGACCTCATGTTAAATTGTTGTATTTGGTTTGTCTTTGGGCATAGTTACGAGCCAGCGTGTTCCGCAATATTTATGCCTGTGGCCGCCACAGATGCGGCCATCCGCGGCCCATGGCTTCGGAAGTAACCCGAGCCTCTGGCAAGGCAGTCGAGAACCGGGGGCTACACGCGTTAGCCCACTAAGTTCGGGTGGGTAAGGTGAGGGGAAGGGGAAGGGAACCACCGAGCGAGCTGCCGAAAAACACTTCCCGTAGGCGTCGGAGAATTCGAAGATGTTGGAAGACTCCGGGAAGCCAGGCGACCGCTCACGTCGACTGAGTCTCCCTGTCCGACCTCCGCATACTACTACCCTTACCGCTTTGTGTGACTATTCCCAATTCCTAAGCATCTTTCCTGCGAAGACGAAACCAAGGATATTAGACCACTGAAGCGAGCGTTTCGACGAACCTATGGTACGATACTGAGCCGAGACCAACCGGCTGGCTCTTCTCCACTACCATTATTTTGTCAAAATTAACGCCGCAGCAACTCTCGCAAAGTTTGCGGGTTTGAGGAAACTGCCCCCACGTCAGTACAAACAAGCGTATCGATTGTTATTTTTGCAACTTGTGTACCAGATAATCGCGCATGTTGAACTTTCAGACACATGTGATGCCGTATTTGAAGAAAAATTACAAACATGCTTAATGAGTAATTGACTGATGTTTGTTAATGGATCAATGACACGATTAATTTAATCTTTGTGCACTTCGCAGCCTACAAGTCATAACTGTTCTTCTTTGACGTTATACGTGTATGTGAGATCACACTGTTGAAGTTCACTTGATGAAGTTATGTCCGATCCATTTTCCTGGCGTTTTAAAGACGCATTGAATACACGTTTTTACGTAAAAGCAGAAAAGCAGACGAGCTGAAGGGAGTCCGTATTCTTCAATATCAGAGTTGGGAAGGAGTGTGAAAAGAACGATGAGTGTACACAAACTTGCATCTCAATCTTGAGTTTAGATATGCTTGATGGTGTTAACATCCTCGTGTGGTTCCCTCACAAATATTTTCGCTAATAAAAAATGATGATTTGGCTTCGTTGTTGATTATCACACGAATAGCAACAGTGTCATCTGCGAACGAACGCCGCCAAGACAGAGTTTTAGTTTACTCGGTCGAGTAGGTTAACCTTTCAATAATTTTTTACGTTGAGGCTCATTGTGAACTGCAGCCTGATGCATGATGAGGTCACGTTGGTAGCTTTGGGACGTGTTTTACGCACTTCAATATTTCATTGTCATCATATTTTAGAACGAGATATCGGTGTTACTTCGGAACTGACCGCTTATGTACCAAACTATTTAGATGAGCGAGTTTGCAACATGATAGGTAGGTAATTCTTTGTTGACAAGGCGACTAATGCTGTTCTAAGCGAGAAATATCGACTTCACATGAAACATATTTTCACACTTGATACCAACCTGATTGACCTGCTGTAATACATATATACCGCTCCCCACCTCGTTCTTCAGTCTTTCTATTCCGCCTTCCTCCTCCTATGTTTTCCCCCCTTTCTGTCAAATATCTCGTCGCAAAGTGTTGGCATGCTATCCCAAGGATGGCATGCCAATACCTTGGAAAGATGTCCCGATTTATTTATTTCCTACTTTGTGTAAGGACTACCACGTGAAACACAGCGAAGTCTATAAGCACAGGCTCCAGGCCTGTGCTTATAGACTTCGCTAACTCGGCCGCAGCTGCACAGGCGCAGGTGTAGCGGGGAGAACCTGCTGGAAACTGTCGTGCCGGCTTGCGCTTGTGAAGTTTAATGTACTCCCCGAGATTTATTCTAGAGCGTCTTTCACTCGAGACGCCTTGTCGAAGCCGAGCGTGAGTTAACGCCCTTGCGGTCCTACACGTCATGCAAGATCTCCGATGAAATAAACATCCATACCGACATAAAAACACGTCATGAAGGTTACAAGAGCCGATGGTCTTCCACCGATCATCCCAAAGAAAACACGAAGGCACGAACGACCGCAGTTCCAAGCAGCTCATAAACTCGCGCAAGAGCCGAGAGCGACCCTCCCCGGTGAACCCATATATTTTCCGACAGATCAACGACACCAGTTACACCGTGAACCCCACGACGAAATATACGGCGTGCATGTGTGGCACGACCCGCGGTCAATGGCTCATCCGTCAAAAGCCCGGGCTCGCGGCCCCGCGTGGGCTCTTTCGGTCGCTGTCTCCCCCAGCCCGTCGAAGACAGCCAGCGAGCAAGCCCATCGGCTCCCTCGACGCCGCGATCCGTCCGAATGCCGGAGCTGACGACACGGGAGCACCCCTCCACCCCCTCCCTCGGGGGACCCTAAGCTCTGAACTGGCCGCGCTGCAAGAGCCCCGGGTTGCGGCGGCGGGCATGCCGACCAGCCAGAGAGCCCTCTCCCTCGGCACGTCCCGGTTCTTTCAACTACACCTTCGAAAATAGGAACCCTAGGCTCCCGAAATAGCCTTCGGTTCCCGGCGGCGGCTGCGGCGGCCCGGGGCTCGGACGTGCACAAGCGTCCTCCCAGCTTGGGCCGGAGTCGGCCGCGCCGCGTGGCCGCATTTCTGGGTCTTTCCCCAGCGAGCCGGTGTCCCCCCGGAGCTGCCCCTCCCGACGACGACGCCCGTTTTGAAGTGCCGGACCCAAGCTCCTTTTACGAGTTTTTCGTACGACCCGTGCTACGTCGAAAGAGGTGCACCATCGAGGGCCGCGGGGAACGACGCTTGCACTGCGATGTCGTGTGGGCCGGTAGCCCCCGCGGTTGTGTCTCGGCTGGCTGCTCCGGAGGTGCGCGGGGATGTTCCGGCCGAGCGTAGTCTCGAGTCATGACGAGATCCACCGAGAAGACTGCGAAAACGACGCCTGGTGACGGATGAACATCGGCTGAGCGAGTTGTTGCAGAGCCTGACCGGGCCGAGACATCGCAGTGACCCAGGTAACCGTTCCGCTGGGGTCATTGGCACGCTGTCGTCGACCCTCGAGGAAGGGCGTCGGTGTCATTGCACCCTGTGCAGCATGGAGTAGGCTGTCTCGCCGGTAGACCTGGGGTATCGGCTCTGGGGACAGGGGATGGTACAGCACATTAGAGGCGTCTCTACCTGCTCGCCTGACATCGTGCTACCACGTTACCATCCGCTCGTGTACCCTAAGTCCCGAAGGGCTGTTGTTTTGCATGCTGAAGTCACCTGTGATCAGCAAGGTTTCTTGACAAGCAACTTTCCTTCTATTGTTTCGCCAATTGCAAGTTGAATCCCAATCTAACTCTGGCAGGTCAGTGCGTTTCGTATACTCGCTTCACCCTTTCCCCCCTCTTTCGCAAGACCCTCGTGCGACGTCACACAAGATTCTTTCTTCGCGCTGGGAGAGGGAAATGAGGTGATGCCCGTGCGGTATCACATGCGCGTCTTAGCGAAAAGTCCCTGTATCTGAAACGGCCGTTACTCTTTCAGACATTCTGCGATAAAAATCAGAACCCGTGAAACAGGCAATCGCCCACGAAAAAAAATAATAAACAATTAAAATGTGACGCAGCACCCGCGGGTCTGCTAGCTTAATGCGCTCTCGTCACAAAATAAACAGTTCGTTCATCAAATAAACGCCAGATTCCGAGTTTGAGTTCGTTGCAAAAGCCTTGATAGTATGGCACAAAACCCTTTCCATCAAACACACTCGTCACCAAGCGTTTTGAGTAACGTTAAGATTGCCGGCTGCATTTCTCAACCTGTGGAGAGAATACGCGGAAATTAGGTGCTCTTTTTTAAGATTCAAAAGCATTAAATAAGGAAACAGAATCGAACCATTTTCACTAAACGCATTGCGTTATTCTCAGATGGTGTCAAAGATCAGTGCCACTCACATGGCTTTCCAGTGTGTAATTCACGGCAACTTAATATCATAAAATGAGTCTCCAATTAGCGGTCATCAAATGGTTAACAAGTTTAATTGTATTAGCTCTGTCTCAGACGTAAATGGACACGGTATAGACTTCGGAAGGACAAACGACTCAAAGGCGGCTCCCGGCGACGCACGTCCAGGAGAAATCATAATTACAAATATAAAACAAATTAGATTTATATTATTTAATTAATATTTATTTGATTTAAATCACATTCAGTTTATTTAAGTCGGACTATTTTGATTTAAACCACTGTAGCTAGAAAATAGTGATTCCTTAACTCTAGATGTATTTTTAACATGGTAGATTGATTGATCAGTTTGTCCGATCACTGATAAGTATGCGGAAGAGAAAATTACTGTGAACGTAAAGTACAGTTTAATTAGCAGCTTTTTATTGCTTGAACTTCCGTCATACTAGTACAAAAATATCTTGGTTTTATGGTTAGTCAAAAAGCTTTATTGTTTGGGGTTGTTTTTTTTTCAATGCAAGCAAATGCGTATAAAAAGCATCATTTCGGGATTAATTTCGGAATTAATTTGGCTAGAAATGTTTGATTAAAATCTACATAGTAAAACTGGTCTGATTTAAACCACAATATAAATCATGTTGATCCTTATTGTCGAGCCTGAGCTCGTTTCATTGAGCCTCACCGCAATTTCTGCGCAAAGAATCACATCATTTTACCACACGCCGCAACTGTCTTTAATATAAAGATTAAGCAATCTTCCAGTTAGAAAATGATCGGCAAAATCTGTTGGAAACGATGCTCGGACTGGATAGAAGCAGCGCGCGGTTACGCATTCACGGAGTAAGATACCTTGTTTATCAGTTGTACCGCACTAGCTAACTTGTCCATCTGCGGCGCAGACAACGAACACATTCCAAGATAGCCAAACTTTTTTTCTTTCTAAATCTCTATGCGACCAATTTGCTATTTTAAGAACATACAAAATAAAAACATTGCTTTTGCTCTTGCATCATCCATAGATTCCCCATATACATTGTCCGATGTCAAGCGATAAATGCCTGTGGTGCCGCTCGATGCCTGCAACAGAAGCCTCGATCTGAGATCTAGCTATACGATAATTGCAATTAGTGCGTCTCCCAGACGATGAAGGCTGATGTCAGTGGTTGTGGTTGATTGATGAAATCAATCAACGCTACTCGAGATGTTAACACCAATCACGGACAAACGACCGAGTGGAACGTCGATACTCAGGTGTGCGTGGGCGTCTATAGTTAAAGTATGTGGATTTCTAGTGATGGCCATCTTTTCGCCTTAGTGACGTGATTCACCAAGGTCTTGTGACCGTAAGATAATCTGATTACTTATGCATTTGGTGATACGACCGACAAAAGAAGTTGCAGCGTGCTGCGACGGAAGCAGTAAGCGAGTGTGTGAACAAAGCAGAACACCAGCGAGAGCCAAAAGAGTAATGCATATAATTATTAAGAATATTAAATAAAAAAATGTTAGGTATAGAAGATACAAACATCAATATAAAAGTAGAATGAATCTTCTTTCCTATGAAATATCGAGACGCAGCTAAGTGAGCCTAGTCAAATTAAATGATAATAATGCCAAAAAGTGTGGAGAAAGAGGTTAAACTTCGCACAGCTTTGAGGAACACAAAGACGATACATTTGATTAAAAAAAATATTCTCGAATGTTGGTAAGTAACGCATCCAACTTGCCAATTGTTTAATTAATGTTGAAACAGTACCACTCTTTTAAAACCTCGCTTGAAGGCAAGTATCTCTTATAAGGGTGCAGTGTGCAACGTAAAACGGCATGTCCCGTCTAATCAAACCACCTTCTCCATTCCTTCAATTTTCTTTTGTTCTGGAAGTCTGGTCATGTTTGTGCGCTTTATCTTACAAAATTGCCATGGCTCATGTTTCCGAGCACTGCACCTAATGACGATTGCCGCTTGCACGCGGGATGGGTGCTTTTTCGCGAGCTGTAATCGAACCTACGTGAAACACGAACCGGAGTGCGGAAAGCTCATCCAGATTGTTTTCAATCGGACGTTTTCTTTTGTTTTTATAGTTCTAGTTATAATGGTCCGCTATGGCTTTGGTTTTCTAAAAATGATTCACATATTTAAAAAAAAAAAACAGCGAATTGCGTGATGTTTTTAAAGGTCAATGAACTGAGCTTTTTAGAGCGCAGGCTCAATATTTCTTTCACGAAAAGCTTTAAGATATGAAGTTACAATCTATATTTTTACGCAACGATCATTCTTAAAAGACTCGTGTGGCACGTGTTAACAGCCTTCAGCGTACAGTTGAGAGCACATTTCTACGTGTCCATTTTGACGGATAATGCTCTATATCAACGAAATGAGAACGGCAGGGCACAACAATGGAACGGCAACGCCGGTTGCCTTCCGCCGTGCTTTGACTGCGAGCGCGAGACGCCGAAGCACTGTCGAAGGCAAGAAGCCTGCACTGGAGGCGGGCAACGGATGAAGCTCCTCCCTGCAGTTTTCGCCCAGGGTCATTCCATGCCAAAGGAGACAAGGCATTTTTTTTGTATATATATATCTGGGACGTGAACGAAAAAAAAAATCATTTGGATCAAGAAGTCGCTAATATTTATGAAAAGTATTTGTATGTGAAAAATACATTTCATTTTTGCTGATATGATGCTCTAGATTTCTGTAATTTGCACAAAACCCGTGTCCGTAAAAAAAAAAAAAAAAAAAAAAAAATGTGAAAAAACTGTTCGCTACCACTAATGTAGGTGGGTGCCTAATTAATTAATAACACGCCTTATTTTGCAGCAAAATACAAACATTGAAGGACGCCGTTATAAGTTCAAATGTGAGCTAAAAATAATTTTTTGAGATTTCCTTATTTCTTTTAGTCAACTTGGATTTGGGTGTTAGCTACAATACTTTTTTTTTTGTTCGTTCTCATATAACTAATATTTGAATTGCACGTGTTAAAGTTTTAAAGACTCGTTTTGTTGCGTTTTAATTCAATGACATATTCTCCAGTTCATGAATAAACGGACTTATTGAGAGCCAGAAAAAAGCAATGTGGGCTTCGGTTCCCGAAACCTTCAAAATAGCCAAAAGTTCAATCTACCTCATCTTTTCGAAATATCAAAAAATAAAAAATAAACTTTTTGCATCGTATTTTTTGCATTGCGCCACCTAGTTTAGGTGGCTTGCGCCACCTAACTAGGTGGCGCAAGCTGTCTCCCGATTTCAAGAGTTTAATCATATTACATTCATCTGCCAACCTATCCACAGGCTTATATGTGAACCACCAGATGGCGTGGACTTTTCTTTCGGAGCGGTCAAAAATACACTTAAGAAATTATGCTCAAGTATTTTTTCCACAGAGTCTTTAGCGGGGTGATCAACAAAATTGAAAAAAAAAAAAAAAAAAAGTTATCGCCGACCCGTGCCAGTTGAGGTATGATCGGCACAGGGAACGAAACGATCAGGCAACATAAACCTATCAAACTAAATAGAACCGGCTATTTGGCAGTAGATTTCTAAAAAGTCAGAGTACGTAGCGGCCAAAACATGAAGCCCTAAAAGCAGGTCGAAAAAAATGTTTCACCGGAGACACCAACTAGTATGTAAGCCTTGTCCTGGTCGGGACCTTTTCGATGGCATATGTCTGTCAACGCAACTCTTGTTCTGTCGCAACTTCAGTACGTTAAAACTTGGGCTCAGTTGGCACGCTGTCAACATCAAACAGAGCACGGAATCCCAGCATCAGTGAAAGACAGCGACTGACCAAACGCTGGGTTTGAAAGTCTGACTTTTTTGTGTATGTAGCCGTTTTTCTATGAGTCCTTCGTAACGTGCGGTCTCTGGTGCTGGCTATGCTGGGAGTCGATTTTATGTGGCGTTGTAATCGAAGCCATGAGCTTTCGTGCGTTTGCGTGTCTTGAGCGCTGGTAAAAGGGAGCTCTAGAATATTGGGCCCCAGTATTTTGGGTACCTGAAGAGCTTGGGGAGTCGCACTGCGCAAATACAGAACTTCTGCGCCTGCTCAGCACGACACGCAAAGCTCTT